TGCAGTGACTGCCGCATAAAACCCAGTTCGTCCATTGATGCTGTAAAGCACAAGCGGCATAACACCGACTTATCTGTGCTACGTGATAAGAAATCAGGCTTCTTGCTGGTTAAACGGGTAAACCGATTTTACTTCCAGGTCAGCAGAACTCCGTATTATCTTCCGTTGCCTCTGCTTATGACGCATCCCGTTGATTCATGCATTTAAATTTGATAGTTTAGACACTGTTTATTGTGTCATTGTACAATCCTTAACCTGGTATAAAATGCCGACTTATGTTATGTATCGTATCTTATACCTCGAGACTCCGCCTTGGTGTCTGATAGTTTGCCCCCGGCTTCGGCCTCATATGCATCATAACACAGACAGAGGAATTTCTGTCATTCAAGTGAACTTTGTACCACTAATGTTGGTAGTGTCGAAGACGAGGGTCACCTGTAAAGCGCAACACGAAAGAAACCAATAATCACAACTGTGTTGGTAAATAAGAACTACCAGCGGTAAGCATTAAGGTATTTTACTTGGCTAGCCTATGTACAGCGTGTTTAATCTAAGGCTAAGAAGAGGCCGCTACACAAGACTAGCTATAAGATTCTACTCGAATCTGCTGCAACACAGGTGAAGGCCAACGTAATCCGAACTCGTGTACGGTGCGAATATGTGCTGATCCATGCAAACAACAACATGCGGGTGAACACAGACAGACAACTCAGAGTTCCTGGGTACGTAATACGGCTACATATTTCAACAGAACTTTACCAGCATACTTCAGGAGGACGTGGGGATCATAAAGTCGCTACAGTATAACCTATACGACATTGTGCGTCTTTTATAATGTCTGACTCGAAATTAAGCTGAAAAATACAACTTTCAACACCATGAATAGGCAATGTTCACCGCAAGCGACTGAGTGCATTCTCATCTTACTTCCAGTCGTAAAGCGCAGGGCAGACTTCAACTTGTCCGATTTAAGGGGACCGACGTTTGATGTCATGGTTGTATGGAAAAGACAAATTTAGAGATGCATATCTTGAGTAAATGAGATCTAGTGCCCAACATCGAGCTAGCCGTATAATACCTTTTTTCTCCTCATGAAATCCGGAATGCTAATTGGTGAACTTCCTCAAGTCACTTCCTTGAACAATTTTGCTATCTTTTAGATCCCACTTGGAGACGCCTCTTTGAAGTCGAGCGTTCTGTTGAGAAAAGGCGCCCAGGCAAGTTATTCCCCTCTGAATTAGTAGAATCTGTCATCTGCAGGCTTATCACGGGAGTTATCTGTGTATAAATGGTGTGAAAGCCCTACTCCCGAGAACTAACAAACTGTTGGCATGGTGGAGTTGGTTTGGAAGCGTTTGGCTCACCAATGGCTATTTGGGAGTGGTCAGCGCTTCTGCCCCTAGATTTAAACTAACCACATCCTGACACTAAGAACCAAAACGAAACATTCTACTTGTTTGTGAATGCCTATGTATAATCGCGTACTACTTTGTCATGTGCTATCCTCACTCCCTAAAGCGCAAATCCTCGTGCAATCACGTGAAGGAAGAGTGTGGCCGCCACACAATTTGCCTTTACTTCAATACTATATTCTTCAAGAGAAAGCATCATGGTGTTTAAATAGTGCAAGCTGAGTTTATTTCAACTTGATCCAGTCACCCAGTCATCCCACATCCGGAAAGGTACTGCACTCTACCGCTTCTGCCACTCGGGGGTCATCAGCAGGGCACATTTTATCTGCCGCCTTGTCGAGCTAGAATCTGCGACCGAAATGTTACGATACATGGATTAAGACCATTGGGTGCAGAGAGACAGCGGTAACCAATATGGACAAGCTAGTTGATATGGTATATGGCAGCTACATCTCAGCAGACTTGTGCGTTAGTAGCATGCAGAACTCAGAGTAAGCCCCCAATCAACGACTTCCAAAACATAAACAGCGAATAAACTTGTCGCATTGTGTACGGTGATCGTCCAAAACTAAAACGTGCTCCGACTATAATGGTATCCAAGTGCAGCACATTACATTACTAACTTATGGAATAAAGCTGTTTCGAGTAGCCTTAAACCATGGACGAAGTTAGCTGAACGATATTCTCTCAATGGCCTACGTGACCACTCCCCTGACTGTTGCATTTCTTAACCGCCATCAAATGCACAGCCCTGTGGCAGCAACAGTAAAACTTGATCTTTGTTTTTATTGTTATGACAAATGCCCGTTCAAATGGAAACTAACCCCAGGTATTGCGTTTTCGGAGAGCTTTCATCGTCAGTTTTGTAACAGTTCACAATCCTGAGGGATTAGATGCTACTTGGGTTATCACCGCGGTTTGTGGTGTATTAAGAGTGTCATACATTAGGACTAGGTTATGCTAAGGTCATACTGCTGGGAAGGAGACAAAATACCAGTTCGTGCATTGCACTCGCAAATGAGAACTACTGTGAGTCGTGGCCAGTGCGTTGATCATCTGTTCCAGGGCAATCAACCATGCTACAAAATATAATTATGGGGTTCATAAGGTAGACAACCAAGCGATTTAATCCAGAACGATTCGAAATTTGCGTTACCGTTGCGTATCGATCGAATAAAGTCGTAACCATCTCCCTTTCCGAAAGATATTGACAGCACGGCTGGCTCGAATTGGATTAAATATGCCTATGTCCCGCAGTTCATAAGGCACAGAAGACAGTTTTGTTTGGATACATAAGACCACGCAAACAGAAACTATTTTCGTCAAACCCAACAGAACTGTCTTGATAGTGACCAGATAACATTTGTCTTTGCTTTACCCTAGCATCTTTCAAACTTGGCCCGATACCGGGTGAGCATCCATTACCCGCTTCATTCCCGACATCGCCAAAGTCATCAAGCAGCGAAACAAGCTACTCGGCGGAAAGCGTAAAAGAAAGGAGCCCATCAGTCAAGAGTGATGATGTCTTACTGTTGACAAGTAGTTCTGACAGAACTATCGTTCATCCGGAACACTTGGGTCCAAAGACAACTGGTGTTGAGCAAGCTGCACGCGAGATGCCTATTTCACAAACCCCAACTCTGTTGAACAAACGATTCCCAAGGGATTTAACAGCTCCTTCAAGACATCGAAAAGCCGAGCGGAGACAAAGAATGGGGGTTCAAAGTGTAATCGGATTCCAGCCACTAACCGGTACCATGGAAGCCCTTTCGTTTGATGCTGAAATAACTGTCCCTCAAGAAACCAAGGCAGAGAAGCCAGTAAGCGAGGAGGCAGGTCAAAGAACTGTCGTGCAAAAAAGTGAGTTGATTTTTATTACCATTCAGCAATAAGGGTAGGCGACTACGTAAACCGACACGATATGTCGAATTTTGCTTTCTGAGCACTGCCTTTTTTTCCTTGTCTTTTGTATTGCGGTACCATATTTGAGATGTTTTCCACCTGCAGCTAACGTGTATAATGATTATGATGATGATACTGGTGATGATATGATTGGATTAATGAACAAGGTAGTCATAATATGACGGTTCCAATATACCGATAAATATAACGGAGCCTACTAACACAGTGCTGGAGTTTCACAGGCAAAGCCATGTTGAAATCGATAGATTGATGGTATGCTATGCTGTCCTTGGGCAAGCGATTCCCCTGTCTAAAAATTAGATTGGCACTAGCCTCATAGAAAACGTGAAGGTAGTAGGTTCTATAAGGAATTCGCACTCTACAAGGGTGAATGATGGTAGTGGTAGACTACCGAAAGGCTTATTATTTTAAATCTGTCCGTGTATGTAAACCGACATGCCGCCACTACTGGTTTAACTACGCAATACGTCAGCAGTTTAACCGGTGCAACAGCCCGAGTCCATTGCAGTTGACTATGAACAACACAAGTTTACCCAAATTTTTGGTCATCACAATGAAGACAGCTTCTCGAAAAGTTGACTATTGCACTAGCAATTGTACAGATGAACTAAACGGATCGTTAAAATGCCACCGCGCTGCAACTAGTTTGACACGATCAACCTATCTTGTGAGTGCCGGTAAAGTGGTCGGCGGCCTATTTTATAAGGTCTTTTCCCTGTGTTTCGTAAGCCACCGGTTCGAATCTCTGTGGGTGGTGAAGACGACCTCGTATCACCATTTAGCCCATGCGTGGATGGTAGTGGTTGTTTGGCGGCAAAACGCCGGCACCAAGTATCCTTGCCAGTAAAGCTAAGAACAGCTGTTTCACCTACAGCAAACTTTTCTGTTCTGAAGCATATCATCTGCAAAAGTGTAGGTCGTTACACTCATCCACGACAACGCATGGTATAGAAACAATATTTGCCCAATCAGCTACTGCCTTCCTATCCATCTTTTAAAATGTATCAACTGCGCAGCAAAATAAGACAATTTTGCTTTTATATACGTACGAGCGCAGTTCGGACCTAGTCATTATCTGTCTATAACACCGAAGACAATCTTTGGCATGCTGTAACTTCTACACCCTGAGTAGCTGTTGTTCATGGCACTCCACACTTCAATTTACTTTGCTTTAAATATACCTCTGGATTCTCTCCATCATTTAGTGAGTGATGATATAACGATCCTCAGCTAGGCGAAGTGCTTGTCTTTGAGCTCTCCTATCTGTTACCGGCACAGATAGACTACTTAGTGCTACCATCAAAACTAGACACATAGTGGCCAGTTGCCGATAAATGAAGTCCCTGCACATGGCGGAAAGGACAAAGCGTCGGCCTTGCTACCCAGAGGTCGCCAGATCGAGCCTGCGTAGAGGTCTGGGCAACCCTTGCCTTATCCGTAGCCCACGCGCGACCGGTGGTGGTTGTGTGGCAGCGACGCGTCCGTACGGCGTATTACTGGTGCCTCCTTATTTTCTTCTCCAAACTTGTGATCAGTGGACGAGTTTCTGACACCACAGTCAGTTTGCTTCAAGTAGTTATGATGATTCCTCTGAGAAGTCAATGACCACAGTGTCTTGCGTTGCTCTTCACCGGGAGTCCCAATATTGATACGGTGCAAATCAGCTGGCAGTTGTCTGTAGACAAAATCAGATGTTATAAGAACAGCAGAACACCTTTCAAGCTTCCCCGAAGAAGGAATATATATAGCCTCATTACGGGAACGAATATCTAGAAAAGGGAATACGTCGAGTGAAACACTTGGAGTATTCCTCTAAGTAGCCAACTGCTCCAACATCTTTTTGAGTCGACTGAACTCCCTCCGATGCAGTGAAGCACTGCACCTTGTACCGACGACCTCTATGCACCGTACTTGCACGGCTGTGGCAATTGGTTGCTTAGGGTCCATCCACTATAAATAAATAAATAACTTCGCTCATTTGCCGAGAAGTGTAATACGTTACTAACTGCAAATAGAGTGGTTGTACAGAAAGACAGTGATAGTGTTTTGATGTGCCCAAATACAACCTTGAGTTGACAGTAGTAGAATTCCGTCCATTTGCACAAGTACAAAATTCAGGTTAGTCCTGCTGTAACCAGCAACCCTCTGACTCGTTTGGTCGTTGACGGTGCCTTTTGAAAAGTAAAGCATGTTGGTACCAAGTAAATTTAAACGGCCAAAGATGAGGGAGAAAGAAACGAGAAAGTAAAAGATAAAAACGCCAACTTCCCAAAAATTTATGGTAACTGAAAATACGAAAATTTATTAGGTTAGCAAAAAATTAATTGACATATTCGATGCCATTCCAGAATTTTCTGAAAGTATCTGGAACCTTTTTCTAAAAGGGTAAATAAGGGAAGACACCAGAAAAACAATCTTACACTGTTCATTTTTCCCACATTTCAACAATCGCTACGGTAGTGCCAAATAAGCAACATGCCGATTGCGGATGATTGTTGTAGGAGTTCGTACAAGGGCGCAGACAGGTCTAGGCTTGAGGAAAGAGACGAAACGTGGCATATAATGCCAGTATATGCCAAAATAGGTAAACGAATTTAGCTCCATCAAATCAAAATATAACCTTTCTCGACAATTTCAGCCTAAACGCAATCCGTTTAATTTTTACACATCAGCATTCGTCCCAGTGCAAAAGCTTTAATCGAATACCCATCTCAATTTAATCCAGATCGCACTGAGTGGTCAGCCGTGGACCTCGCATGAGAGACCTTAAGCACATGTGCATACTTGTGGAATGTGTGAGCGGTGCAAAAGTTTCAGGCCCATTAAGCCCAATAGCCTGAGCAGAACAACGTGATAGCCAAACGGCGGACATCACACGCGCTTGGTATAAAGGGGCCTAAGTTTAGTTCCGAAACATCAAGATGATTTCACATGTCTGAATTATACGTGGAAACGTTCATACGGTTCCGATAATCCGTCTATGGTCAGCAGAGTTATCACTTATGTTTTCCACCAGTTTGGATGCACAGGAACCGCACGCAGCGGGTAAGGCGAAAAGAAAATCTTCCTCATAGTGCACCTACCAAAATTGTCCTTACTTTGTTTTATATGGATTTATAACATTTAAATCATGTTAACGGTGATGGGATGAAGAGGAACGTACGCCCATCATCCGTCCGATGTAAAGGCTCTTATCCTGAAGAGGGCAACGATTAGAAGGGCATTTCATCTATGTTACTGGTAAACGTGAAGACATGTAGAAGCTGGATTAGAACATTAGAATTGAATGAGCAGACAAGAGCTCGTAGCGTGTCTCGTCGAAAGTGTTTATCAGATAATCATGTGGATTGCTTGGTGGAAAAGAAAGGAATTGGACGCTACGGTTACTCTGGAAACTCTTCGGTTATGACTGAAGATGGAGTTCGAGGTGGACGTGAGCGTCAGCACAATCGCTCACTACCTAGACGGTCGCCTCATGATAATGAAGAAATTACGTGCAATACCGGAATCCATCAATACGATGGATAACAAAAGGCTAAGGAAGGCGCATGTGTTGAAGATGATGAACTTGGAGGCAGAAGGACGGCGAGCGGTATGGATAGGTGAGACGAAACTGTCACACGGATTTGGAGCGTATCTTCCAAGTGGAACCTTACGGCTCAGGAAGACTACTACGACTGGCACCGTACTCTCCGCAACTGAACCCACTCGAAGGCATTTGGAGTATCATTAAGGCCTACGTTAAACAAACCATGAGGTGGCGATATTCCGAAATGCTCCGAGGGGAACCGGATGGTGTACTGAGCAAGACTGCATGGAGGATGCAGTCCTTGGAGCAGATTGTTGCAGAAGCAGGTATCTGCGTGACGCTACACCACTGTCAGAAATGGTGCAGCATGTAGGAAATAAGTATACATGTGCTTTGCACTTACTCGATCTGTAACCCGTTCAAAACCACTGATATATTTCTTGTTGACGTTCACTAACATTTTTCTTTTAAATCAATGTGAGGCGACCCCGAGTTGGGTACACCGTGGCTTTCAGTTGGAATTGCCTCTGGCTCTGCGAAGCTTCACTCAGGGATATTACTGCAAACTACGATTAAAGTGGGTTCTCGCTACAGGGATAAACCACGTGTTGCTATCCGGTCGTTATGTAGTACATTGTGAGCTATCGATAGTGCAAAGACGTGTCACACGCCGTTCCACCTAATTTAGGCACAATTGTACACGTTCCTGGGCGTATAGCATGGATACTGGTTTCCATAGTCGTCGGTGATTTGCTGTATAGACAATGCATGCAACCCGGCCGAGAGTTCCTCCATCAAAGTGGGTTACGGTCAAAGATCATCTGGGTTTCAGGTGCCTAATGGCCGAAGACTCAGTGAACTGAAGTAGAAGGACGACGCCTCGTTGGTTGATTATGCTAAATGATTCACGGAAGTTTTCATCCAAGGAGCAGTCAAGCATGTGTCGGGAGATCGAAATGGCATGCAAGGTTTGACATCTCGCGAACGGTCTGGAGGAATATGCACTGAAATCATGGCATTCAATCATCAGGACCGCAGCTAATGCAAACAGAAATTTCATGTTGCCGGCCCGAAAACACTGCACTACTATGACGAGTTTCGATGTCATTACATCTCATCAGATATAGTTAGCAGGCATCGAACCCGGGACCATCGGTATGTTAGTTGTGAACACTACACCTATGCCACCGGGTCACAGGAAACGCTTGGCACAACGCTAAAATGGACGATGTTTAGGCTCATTCTGAAGAACCCGTTGTGTGGATGGAGTGCGACGCGCAATCTCAATGATGACAGCAACTCTCATTGAAGCGAAAATTTGTCTGCTGATGCGATTAGAAATTGGGAGTTGCCCGCCCGATAATACTAGACTACTTTGACGCGTTTCAAAGTTATTACATTTCATCAG